TAACCCTCTTCACTATTCAACCATCATGAATGGACGAATCTGCTCATTATTGGTACTTTCTTGCTGGGCTGGGGGGTTATCACTAATTCTAGTTCCATCCTTGGTTTTCTTTCAAATGCCATTTTGTGGTCCCAACATCATCAATCATTTCTTTTGTGACAATGGACCACTGATCAAACTAGCGTGTGTTGACATCAGGCTCCTAGAACTGATTGATTTTGTGATTGCCATATTCTCTCTGCTTGGGACTTTAAGTGTTAACATTGTGTCTTATGTCAAAATCATTTCCACAATTCTGCGCATCCCATCAACTACAGGGAGGAAGAAGACCTTTTCCACTTGTGCTTCTCACATGACTGTGGTCTCCATCACTTACAGCAGTTGTATTTTCATGTACATCAAGCCAAAAGGCACCAGCAAATTAGAGTTCAACAAAATAGTGGCTCTTTTGAATACTGTCATAGCATCTCTTTTAATCCCATTCATATATTGTTTGAGGAACAGACAAGTGCAGGATGCTTTGAGGGCTGAACTGAAACAATGGATTTGGTTTTGCAAGAAATTGAGATGATTTACCATTGATATGACCCTGAACTAGATTTTCATGTTTAACTTCTTATATTGCATCTTGAAACTATGGCACGTGCTGCTATCAGAGGTAATGATCACCAAGTGAGATGGTTTTACAAGAGGACTTGAGAATACATACAGAATTGGATGATGAGTGACTGAAATGTCTAATTGCTATCAAAGGCAGAATGCCTGAAATACTGGTTGCTAATGAGGAATAATGGAAGGAGACAATCACCCTTCTGTCCTAGTTGTGAGTTTACCAATCACATCTGGTTGTATCCTTTGTGACCTAGCATGCATCAGCCCTTCAACCAATGCAGCCTCAGAGCTCTTCTCATCTTCTAAAGTGGAAAATACAGCCTGACTACTTCTACCTGAGTATGTTTCATAAACTGGCCCTGTATGTGACATAAGCCTGTCAGGTTCAGCCCAAAGAACTCCACGAGACAATGCAATTTCAGTTCTGTTGCGTTTATTAGCTTCCACCTCTAGACAGAATCTCACCAGACTGAACCCAAGTTCCCAAGCCAGCCAGCCACAACACCATGAAATCCTTAGGGAGGTGCCAGCCTCATCTTCTTGAACTTCCCACGCTCCTGTTGGGGGCTAAGAACATGCTTATCTCCCTGAGCATGGCCTTGATAAGTCCATTCCATCACAAAGCTACACAATATAATAAATTGCTGCTATGATTCACTTATGGTGTCACAAAAGTGGGCTATGGGGCTCTGTGGTTATGGAAAATCACCAGGAAATTTTCCTCAGTGATGAACCTGAATATAAGACAGAATCCGAGGTGATGGCATAAAACATGATATCCAAGCTAGGAAATGTTGCTGATGTAGAAATTCTAGCTAATTTGAATTTGTTGGGTAATTCAAACCAACCTACAAGATTTCCTGCTCTTTAATCATGGCATCTCATTTCCCAGGACCTACCAAGAATTCATCCAAAATTGTTTTTGATATTGGGGAAAGATGGTAGGAGAGACCTCCCTCCCTTCTTTTCTTTCCTCACCATGGCTTCCAGCTGTCACTTTTAGACTCCTGAAGTTATCCCAATAAATGGGATAGCTTGAAAGAAGAGGGAAGTTCTTGAAACAACTCAGAATGCAAAGAGGTTGGGATCTCCTGTGTCTCCAGGTTGGAATAAGAAGCACATCAGAGAAAATTGTGCAGTTGTTTTCATCTTCTCTTTGAAGGAAATATTTGTAGACATCTAGTTTCCACTAGACAACCCATGACCCATTTGGACATCTTTTCGATACGTAAACAGAGAAACAGAATGACCACCGGTGGGCAAAAAAGCGGTGGGAGTGGGAGCAACTTCCAGCTTCTGGCCGACTTCCCCTTTGACTTTCCTTGTGGGAAGCTGGCAGGGACCATTGGATATCTTTTCTTTCTTTCTTTCTTTCTTTCTTTCTTTCTTTCTTTCTTTCTTTCTTTCTTT